GGGGGGGGGCATGTGCCCTCCCTTTCCCCCTTGCCCCCATGGCCTCCCCACATGTTGCCTATGCTTTAATTGTTATGAGCAGATGAGCTGAGAATGATTCAAATATAGGAAAAGGTCTCCAACTTTAACACTCCTTCATTCAGAGCTAAGGTTGGAGGGGTTTTGTTAGGTTTCAGTCATACTCAGCTTGTTCATACATAACAATTAGAATATACCAGCTACTGCCCTTTTAAAATGTTTCCCCTTTGAAAGGGCTTCAAGTGTTCCTGTATCCACACCCAGCAGCAGCCTGTGATTGCCTGGCCACACAGTGCAGTGAGTTGGGTCTTTTGTAAACTAGGATAGGATAAAAATATTTTTTAAATCCTTTCATAAATAGAATAAAAATACATTAGGTTTTACCTGTCAACTTATTCTTAGTGTGCAAGTTTTTTAAGGTTAACGACTCCCTCTGTGAGTTAGCATGTTTTAAATGCAACACTTAGACTCCATTTTCCCTCTGAGGAATATGGTGGGGACAGAACATAGGTTCCTTTGCCTTTTCTGTTTTTACTACATTCCCCAGTTCTGGGGCCAATTGTTACTTTGTTGCAGAATCTTAAAATAGACTCAGAAACTTCAACTTTTGCTGGTAAAAACAGCTCCATGAAGGGCATTTTGTGAGTGTTGGGCTGCCAGAGAGCAATGAATTCTGGTGATGTCCTCACTGGTGACAGTGCAGGCCTACGAGTGGATGGTATAAATGGCTACTTTTAGGTACCACTACCCAAGGAGTCTCATGTAGGAAGAGAACCATTTGCTGCTTTGTAATCTCCTACTAAAACAGAAAGTACTGATTGTCTTTTCTTTTGCCAGGTATCTTCATGACCCTTTCCCTGCTATCAATTGTATATGGAGCTTTACGGTGCAACATCTTGGCCATTAAGATTAAATATGACGACTATGACATCAATGTGAAACCTGCAGCCTACCTCTGCATATTTCTGTGGAGAAGTTTTGAGATTGCTACTCGGGTTGTAGTTCTGGTCCTTTTCAGTTCAGTGCTTCAGATCTGGACCCTCCCTGTGGTGCTCGTGAACTTTTTTGGCTTTTTCTTTTACCCCTGGATTCTTTTTTGGAAAAGCAAATCCCCTTTTCCTGAAAATATAGAGAAAGCTTTGACCAGGGTCGGCACCACCATTGTATTGTGCCTTCTTACCTTCTTGTATGCTGGCATTAATATGTTCTGCTGGTCAGCAGTACAGCTGAAGATAAATGATCCTGACTTAATTAACAGATCACAAAATTGGTACAGACTGGCGGTATACTATGTGCTAAGATTCATTGAGAATGCTTTCCTTCTGTTAATGTGGTATCTCTATAGAACAGACACCTACCTATACATCTGTGCCCCCTTATTAGTCTTGCAGTTGTTAATTGGCTATTGCATGGCCATCCTGTTCATGCTTGTATTCTACCAGTTTTGTCACCCATGCAAAAAACTGTTTTCATCTAGTATTTCAGAAGGTTTGCTCCGCTGTTTCAAGTTACTGTGCTTTCCTTGCAAGCCATCTATGTCCAGCACACCAACAGAGAAGGCAGAGTTGAAATCGCCAGATAATACTGATGATGCACAGAACTGTTACAAGACAAACGAGTCTCAGAATGGGAATCCTCATCAAAGTGTTTCTTCCAATGCCTAGTGTGGCTAGTTGTAAGCAGGCATTGCTGGAAACTATTGCACTGTTACACAAAGCGCAATGTGTGTTGGATGTCGAGCTTTGTTGGTCTCTTTGGTAGGTGCAGTACTGCAGGGTTACTTTGATATGCGTACCCATATCACAAACTTGACGTCCAAATGTATGTGTACAACAAACTACTATGTGTAGATTTGTACTGCAGAGTGGTCTCACACAGAGATTATCATTGGCTTATTTTGAAATCATTATAGAAGACATGTTTAAATCCTAGCAAAGTGAACTTCATGCTAGTCTAGTTTATTTAGGAAGTATGAGGAGAATGGAAAGACATGGGAAATACTGGTTTTTCACAGAGCATTACTTCAGCAGACCATGCTAGTATGGAATCTAAGTGTAGTCTTTGACTGCATTCTGACTAGATAATAAGATGTGATCCATTGTGCACATTTACTGTAAACTTTTATTGTAAAAATGTATTGTGAACTTTATTTTTGAAGTAATGACAACTGTTATTTTCTTACATCCTAACCGTCTTTATCTTTGTGATGCTGAAGTCAGACTGCTACCATGTATTTTAAATGATGCTCCTTAAGAAGTAAGGTTACTTATAGTTAATACAGAATACAAAAACATGATTATTACTGAGAACAGGTAGAGAGGATTAGGCGTTTGTACTGTTGTAGTCTCTGAATTTTCTGGATTTTTTTGGTGCAAGGTTGAAGTTTAAAGTATTAGCTGTAATGTCTGAAGTCTTGTATGGCCTCAGTACAATGTATATTGCCAAACTTCAGGCAACCTACAATAGGTCTAGGACCATCTTTCCCTACTATATCAGGCAGAGCTGGATTTATGGATCCATGGGTTATATGGAGCCAGAAAAGACTTGGTCTCTCTCATTTGATTCATGTTATATTTGGGTTACTAAACACTGGCATTTTGGAATAACCTGCCCTATTGATCTCAAAGGTGCCACAGATTTGGAACCTTTCCCAAAAAGCGCTAAGAAACACCATATTTTCTCACATACAACACACACTGTTTTAAAAAAAAAACACATTTTGGCAGATGGATTTCCAAGAAATAGAATTTATTAGGATTATTGGGAAAAGAGAGGTAATTAAAAAGGTGAGATATTTACTGCAATCCTGAAGTATGTGTTAACAGTTTATTCATATCTGATGTTTGTTCAGTGCCTTGTGTTTGTCTTTTGCTTAACACATCGTGGGTACTACTGGGAACAAGTAATAATAGAAAATCATTAGCTAGACCCCCTTTTAGTATTGACTGATAGTGTTCTATTCTCCTTTCATGAGAACAGGAAGCTCCCTGAAAGAAAGGATAAGTGTATCAGGAATGTCACAAGATGGAAAGAGAGAGAAGTATAGAATGTTGCACATGCAATGCTGCCAGAGCGTAAGGTCCTTTTATTACTGCACACTCTAAATGAATATCTTTATACTGCGCGTTAACTCCAGCTTGTTGTTGTCTTGGTCAGTGTGTGTGTGAGATATCTATATTACCCCCCCACACACATATACACACACAAACACACATAATTATGCAGTACCTCGTATTATAAGGTGGGGTAGTACAAAGCAGTTTTTTGGCATGACTTTGGCATGGGAACATCACTTGCATTTAGGAGGTGACACATCTCTGTTTATTAGTCCAGATCTGCAGGGAGATTTATAATGCTGGGATAAATCCCTGTGCATACTGCAGTATTTCTATGTATAAGAAAATGCATCATATATAGAAGATTCTTAAAAATTGAAGGTATACATTGGAATGAATTAAAGCAGTTTGGATTCATCAGGTAGAGGCAATATCAAAACCAGTGTCAGCATAGGTCCCCAAGAGACTTCTAAAACCTTTCTTATCCTATAAATCACATGTCTTATAGAAGATAAATGATGGTACAGTTGTGATTTTACCATTTGGGGACAGTGGTATTTCCACAAATACCAAATCCAAGGGCCCAGCGCACATGTGCAGTCAGTATTGTTTAATTTCACCTACAAACAGTAAAGTAGTGTTATATGCTTGTTTGTGGAAACGGTTCCATATTATATACTGTTTTTATACTGATCTTTTGCAGTTCATGTGTTGGCCACTAAGTACATCAAATAATTACTGTTGTGACCATTATGCATACATTGAGCTGCAGTTTTGATAGGTTTTGCCTTAGCTATGCAAAAGTAGTCAGTTAGATTTGGAATAATGACTCAAAGACTTCATCCTCATAAATGCCATTGTCTAAGGTTGCCTCAAAACAACACACCTACATTAGACCACATGACTGCTGCCTATGTTTCATCTAGCTATGCTGCTGTTGCCGATGGGTTGAGGAGCTTGTGAATGAATTACTGAAGCAAGGTCCTTTGGAGTGTTGCAGTAAGTGATTTTAAGAATAGCTGAATCACTTTCCCCCACCCCCCCATCACCCTAAACCATAGACCTGGCAGAGGTGTGGGACTGTTGTGAGGTATTAAAGGCCTGTAGTGGCTAGGGAGCCACAGGAAATTCTGGCTTCAGTACTGACTATTGCTGATCCAAAAATATTGAGAGTAAACCTGTGGTTTAATTAGTATTATTGTAGGGCATGAATAAAGCTAGCTATTAACCCATTGGCTGCACTGAGAATGGACAGCAGTAACTATCAAGAGTGTGTGTATGTCTGAGTGTGCATGCAAATTAATTTACCTAGTCCTTTTTCACATAGAGTCAAGATCTTCATGTTCTTTAAGTATTACTCGTGGAAATAAAAGAGTTTCCAGGACCAGAATTTACAAGCCTTATCATGTGTTTTTAAAACAGAACAAAAAATATAATTAAAATTTTAATACATAAAACTATGCATGTCCCAGTCCCATTGCTTGGGACAGAACTTTCAGAAACCCAAATTTAACATAATGTCATATTTTCTTAGTCACCAAAGAAATGTTTTACCAGTATCTAATGGGATCTAGTTGGACACAACTGTAATCTGTGCTGGGTTATCTAGATGCTATACTTAAAATATATACAAGGTAATCAGTCATCTTATATTGACAGTGTATAAAATAGAAAATGATAAAGAGAGTCTGTGATATGTAGAGTTGCTTAATAAGTGAGTTACTAGTATAAGAAAATGTTAGGCAAATGAGAAAGATGAGTTAAATTGCAGACTGTTACACAGTGGGCACATTGACATTTGCTATTAATTTGCAGTAGGATTACTGCGCAGTAAAATACATCACAGTAAGCTGCTCCAGGAGCCTGTCTACACATGCTCCTTCTTGGAAGCAGATTTGCTTCCAATGGGAGCAGCCCAGTTCAGCACTGCTCCCGCCCTGCTCTGTCACCCTGCAGCAGCCAGGGGGAGCTCCATACTCCCCCTGGCTCTAGCCTGGGGACTGCCAAGTGGTATGGGGCCAGTCTCAGTGGACGTGGGGCCACAGGAGCTCTGCCAGCTGCAGCAGTAACTGTTTCCTGGGGCCATACACATTGGGAAGGGACTTGATGTGCACGGGGCTGGGAGACAGCTGCCTCTGCAATGGACAGAGTTCTCCTGGCCCCGTGCCCATTAAGACACATAGCTGCTTGTGTCTGGCAGGGGGTTGCTGGGAGCTGTCATGGATGTGGGGCAGCTGCCAGCAAGCCTCCTGCCAGGCAGGGGTGGTCATGGGCTCACCAGCAGCTGCCCTGCTTGGCATGGAACTGGCTGCTGTGGGGAGCAGGCAAGAACTGGACTCCCAGCCCCTGCCCACTCCCTGGAGCAGCCAGCTCCATGCTGCACAGAGCTGCTTCAGGGAACAGGAGAGGGCTAGATTCCCAACCCCTACACCACTCCCCGGAGCAGCCAACTCTGCACTATGTAAACATGCTCCTGCTTGCCCTTCAGAGCTGCCAGCTCTGACCTGGGAGCTGGAACAGGGGCAGAGAGCTCCCCAGTCCTGGTGCTGATTGGCTTCCAGTTCCTGGGGGGATCCGGGAAGCTGAGCAGCACCAGGAAGGAGGAGCGAGCTCCCTGTCCTCTGTGGCAGCTAGGCATCTACAAGAGTGTTACTGCACAGTATCTACAGGTAATAAACTAACTGCACTGTATTAAGAGGTAGTTGCTAACTGCTCAGTAGACTAATTTACTGCACAGTAAATGTGCACACATATAGACGGTGATGCTTTACTGTGCAGTAGATTAATCTGGAGAAAGTCCAGGACCTTCATCTAACCCAGGAGGTGCACACCAGGGGGGATGCCTTGTTGGACTTGGTGTTGGCCACGGGCGATGACCTGGTGAGGGGGCTGCGGGTGCTTGACCCCCTGGGCGACAGTGACCACTGCCTGCTAGAATTCACCATTCAGCGCAAGGTAGCAAAGGCAAGCAGTCAGGTGGTGGCCCTAGATTTTAGGAGGGC